CACAATGGAATATTAGCCCTAAAAAAGAATGAAATCTTGCCATTTGTGACATGGATGGACCTACAGGATATTATGCTAAGTGAAAAAAGACAAAGACAAATATTGTGTGATTTCATTTATTTGTGGAATCTAAAAAACAAAACAAAAACAGACTTTTAAGTACAGAGAAAAACTGGTGGTTGCCATAAGTGAGGGACGTAGGTGGATGAGTGAAATAGGTGAAGAGGATAAAGAGGTAAAAACTTCCAGTTATCAAGGTGAGCAGTCTGCAATGTATGTAATTGTCAAATTATTCTGTGGCACACCAAATTTAATATTGTATGTCAACTGTAAGAAACTGGAACCCTCATTCATTGCTAGTGGGAACTGTAAAGTGGTGTAGCCATTGTGGAAACAGTTTGGTAGTTCCTGAAAAGGTTAAACATAAAATTACCATATGACCCAGCAATTCCACTCAAGTAACTGTAAAGTGGTGTAGCCATTGTGGAAACAGTTTGGTAGTTCCTGAAAAGGTTAAACATAAAATTACCATATGACCCAGCAATTCCACTCAAGGGTATATAATCAAGAAAAGTAAAAACATATCCACACAAAAGCATGTGCATTGAATGTTCACAGCAGTATTATTCACAATAGTCAAAAAGTGGAATCAACCCAAACGTTGCTTACATGAAGCTTGATTTTTAAACTAAATCCACATGTATGACCTGTGCCCAGATGAAGAACAGAACATTATGAACACTTCAGAAGTCCCTCTCATGCTTTGGTTCCAAACTTCTAATAAACCTCTACCCACTAAGAGTAACCCTATGGTGATTTACAACACCATAGATTAATATTGCCTATTTAAAACTTTATAAGCATTGATTAATATATTATGTGCCCTTCTGCCTCTATATTTTTTAACTCAACCATGTATTTGTTAGATTCAACTGCTTACTTGTAACATTTATTTTCATTGTTACCTAACATTCTGTTGTATGAATATATTATATTCTCCTGTTGGTGGACAATTGAGTAGTTTCCAGTTATGTCTGCCAGCATAAAATGTTGTTATGAACATTCTTGCATGTCTTTTGGCAAACATATGTCTAACTAGGTACATAAAAGTGGCATTGTGGGGATATTAGATATGATATCCCAACTTCAGTAGATACTGCCAAAATCTTTCCCAAAGTGGTTGTACCTATTTATACTTTCTCCAGTATTGTATGAGAGTTTCAGTTGCTTCAAATTCGCCACATTTAATACTGTTTATGTGGGTCTCTTTTTTTTTTTATTAAAATATCATTGATATACAATCTTACGAAGGTTTCACATGAACAACTTTGTGGTTTCAACATTCGCCAATATTATCGAGTCCTCACTCCCACCCCATTGCAGTCACTATCAGCATAGTAAGATGCTATAGTCATTACTTTGTCTTCTCCATGCTGTACTGCCTTCCCTGTGACTTGCCTATATTGTGATTGCTAATTATAATGCCCCTTAATCCTCCCCACCCATCCTCCCCAAACCCTTCCTTTTGGTAACCAGTTGCCCCTACTTGGAGTCTGTGAGCCTGCTGCTGTTCCTTCAGTTTTGCTTTGCTGTTATAATCCACAAATGAGTGAAATCATTTGGTACTTGTCTTTCTCCACATGGCTTATTTCACTGAGCATAACACCCTCTAGCTCCATCCATGTTGTAAATGGTAGGATTTGGCTAGGACCTCCACACTATGTTGAGTAAAAGTGGGGAGAGTTGGCACCTTGTCTTGTTCCTGATCTTAGAGGAAAAACTTTCAACTTTATGCTGTTATATATGTATGATGTTGGCTGTGAGTTTGTCATATATGGCCTTTATTATGTTGAGGTACTTTTTATACTCATTTTATTGAGAGTTTTTATCATGAATGGATGTTGAATTCTGTCAAATGCTTTTTCAGCATCTACTTAGATAATCATGAGATTTTTGCCCTTGTTGCTGATGTAGTGTATGATGTTTTTGAATACTGTAATGTCCTTGCATCTATGTGGGTCTTTTTTTAAAGCCACTGTGTTGTAGACATTTTAAGTTCTCTTTTCAAAGTGATATTGGAGAACAGGACTAATACCCTCTTTAATACTAACTGGTTTATATTATCTAAGGTTAAGATTTTGGAGACAGAGGGACACTAATAGGTATTTGTATGTAGTCAACCTATTGCTAGGTCAAGTATCTCTATTCATACTGAAAAGAGTATTTAAGGAAGTAAACCTAGTTTAAAAAAAAAAAAGAAAACCAAACATTAAAAAAAATTATAGTAATGGAGTATGAAAAGAATCAAGTCTCTGAGAAAAATGAACATTTACTAAGAGAATTAAATGATGAAAGAAAAGATTTTGGAGATATAGGACAAATGATAAAATCCAGAATCGTATCCAAACTTCAGTAATAATAAGCCCTGGTAATAACAAATGAACTTATTCAGTTTTTAGTATCATCTACTTAGATATCAGAGACAACTTTCATTTAACAGTATATCAAGGTTTGGCTATGAATTTTTCTCTGCATCCATTAATTTAGGTTACTTCATTGTCTAATTGTGTTTTTGAGACTTAAAAAGAAAAAAAGACACTGATCTTAAAATGGAGCTGGAGATCTCTAACTGGCTTAGTGGGTTGATTGAAATGCCCTAAAATAGAAGTCAGGAAACTTGGTGCATAAAAAGCCTGGTAGTAAACATTTCAAGTCTTTTCCAACCATCCAGTCTCTTGTTGCAGCTACTCACCTCTGCCCTTAAAAGCAGCCCAAAACAATATGTAAACAAGTGGGTGTGGCTATTTACTCTCCTATATGTCCAGTAAATACGTTCATCAAAAGGTGTACATAACAATGCCCATAATAGCACTACATGCAGAAAAACTGGAAACTATACAAATGTGCCTCAAAAGTAGGGTGTGATACATTCATATAATGGTGTATTAAGCAGTAATGAGAATAAACTATTGTTACTTTATTTACTAAAACAGGTGGTGGTAATGTGCATAAGGTTTCCCTTTGGGGTGATGAAAAAGTTTTGGAACTAAATAGTTGTGATGGTTGCACAGTATCATGCATATACTTGTCACTAAATTGTACACTTTAAAATGGTAAATTTAGTTACATGTATTTTGCCACAAGATTAAAAGCAGCAACAGGTAATGGGCCTGTTTGTCCCATGAGCCAATTTGCCAACTGCTGCTCTGAAATGTTCTCACCTTGAGAAGCCGCATAGTATAATGGTTAAATGCAGTTTGTTACTGGACAACCTGGTTTTACCACTGGCTCCAACACTGAGTTTATATCCTATTCAAGTTGCTCAAGTCACTGTACCTCAGTTTAACTACAAAACAAGTATAATACTACTATCTCCTAGGGTTGTTTTTAGGAATAAATGAGTCACATGAATGTATATAGAGTGGTTCCTGGAATATGCAGGAGTGTAATAAATGCTATTATGATTACTTTTTAAAAATAACAACTTGGAGAGAAAGAGAATACTTGCATCTTTGGCTTTGGTGTGGACCAGTTAATTAGTTTTTTGTTATAAGAGCCAACCAGCACATACTGGTAGAAACCTATCCCTACTTTTACAGCAATTTTTCTACCCCTATGTGAGGAAGAAAGCCAAACTGTACTCATCATATATATGATAGGACCAAATGAGAACCTATGATATTTTAAGGTTTTTCAGCTGTAACCAAAAGGTATATAAAACTGAGCATATATAATCATTTTTTAAACTTTTATTTTTATAATAATTTTAATCAGACCAGTTTTAAAGTCTGCATTATGGCAGAATATTTGTTGTATTTAAATAATCCTTATTTTAAATCCTAATTTGCTAATGGAGAAAAAATCTTCATTGGACATTTTTGTCAAAAAAAGACATATATACCATCTCTGAATGAAACAGTAGTAAACCATGTGATGATGACGGATTTGACTTAGAAACAAAGAAGACCAAGACTTCAGCTAGTTTTACTCAGAAACATGATTCCTCATCTTGAGTTCAGTGTTGGAGCCATAACTGATGGTGAGAAGTACTAAAATGCCAGTGTTTCATAAATGCCAATCCAGTGTTTTGCTATTATGATCGATGACACTATAAACATTCTTGAACATTTCTACTTTATACTTGTGCAGGAATTCCTCTCAGTACATACTTCAACTTTACTCAATAACGCCAAATTGTCCAAAGTGATTGTACCAGTTATTTATGCCCACTGACAATACACAAGTTCCCGGGCTTACAATCTCATCAATACTTATTGAACAATTTTTAATTTTTTATCAATGTAAAAAGGTTGTTTCTAGTTTTACTTCTCCCATTGTTAAACTTAAGGTATAATTTACATATAGTAAAACTCACACTTTTTACTGTAAAATTCATCTTTTCCATCTCCTTTCCTCTGGATTGAACGCAGGACAATTTATTCAGATCTTTTTTCTCATTCATTAGGTTCTGTCTTCAGCAGCATCTAATCTGCTATTAACTCTTTGCTGAGTTTTTAATTTTAATAATTTTAGGGCTTTTTCGTAGTTTTGTTTTCTCAAATCTGCTTAACTAAATTTAAATAAATTTTATTTAACTAAAATTAATTATAAATAAGTTTTATTTAAATAAAATTGAAAATTCTGTTACTCAAATTTGAAGTGCTCTTTAGCTACATGTGCCTACAGCCACTATATTGGACAGTGCATATGTAGAACACTTATATCAACTCCAGGGCTCTGTTTGGCAGCTTTGCTAGAGACCTTTGTTTTTCCTTCTGCCAGTTATAAACAGGCATTGCCAGCCTAGGAAACCACTTTAAACTACACTTTTCATTCAAGAGTTTTTTTGTTTGAACCATGCAGGTAATATAAAATTGGGCTGCAAATATGAATGAAGCCTAGCTTGAGATTATAAATTCTCAGAGGAGATGTTTTTTCACAGTATAGTTGCTGTGGGTCTGAAGATATCCATGGATAATAGATTCTCTTCCTTTGCTCAGATGATGAGATTAGTATTGCAATTACCAGACCAGCTTCAGAAGGTCCCTGTCTGCTGAGTGAACCACAGCCTTTGTTCTTACCTCGAGTGCCACAATCTAAGGTGCCGTCTATCACCTCAAATCCGGTAAGCCCCACATGGGAATGTATTGGAGAACCTAAGGCTGTTCTTGCCAGAGGAAGTTTGTCTAGAATTATGTGTCTTATAATTACATTATTACTTAATTTTTTCCAGTACAGTTATGTGTTTATCACAATAATCAAGTGACTCTGCATTGATGTTTTGCTTCAATTTAAAAAATCAGTAGCAAATTAGGGTTAAGTAATTTCAGTCAGCATTTTTGAAAAGGCATCCATAAACTGTGTAACCTAGAATTGACTGTGTGGTTAGCCTAAGTCTGTTTTGGGATGAATAAAGAATATAATGAAAAAGGGGACCAATTTCGGAGTTTCAGGAGCCTTAACATTCTGTCCTCTGACTTTCTCTTTTGACTCCTCTTTTTCTCTTATCTCATCTGGCCTAGTTTTTGTCTTAATATTTGAATTGGGTATTTTGTACTCAAAACCCAGGTGCAAAAGGCAAACCAGAGAGATGGTCTCAGTGAGGTCTGTGGACAAAGATGGTCATGTCTTACAGAGGGCAGATAAGCCTACTGATCTTATCTGCCCTCCTGTGTGATTTACGTAGTCTCAGTTTCTACATGAGTTTCCCAGTGTTACTTGCAGCAAAAAAAGTAGGCAGGGGGTTGGGAGAGAAAAAAGAAAGAAAAAGGATTTTAATCCTTCAATCATACTATTCAACGCAGGGTTTAACTACCAGATCTAGTATTTGCTTTGCTGGAATACTGACCAGGTATCATACAGCTGGATTTACAAATGGATTACTTAAAAATAAAAACAGCAAGGCCCATGTCTTATCACATTGGAGGATGACCAAGTGAACAAATGTTCCTTTGTGGTAATAAAACTTCAACATGTTCAACTGGTCTGGCTGTGGTTTAGGTAACCTAAGCCCTGAACAGGTTAACTTAAATGGTCTGGTTGTTAATGGCCAGAGGGAGGAGAATGGTTAATCCAAACATTCTTGAGGGAAAGTAGGTGGAAAAATGCATGCTGTGGCAGAGGAGGAGATGGTCAGAAAGGGCAATGAACTGATGACCTGTGAAAGAAAATAAACAGGACTCTTAAGGGGGTGATGTCAGTCCAACTAAGACTGAACTCTGCTAACACATTAGAGCAAATAAAATTAATTCCTTCTAATAAATAATCTTCAGAATTTAAGTTATCATTGAGAGCTTACTCTGCTAGAGGTAATAAAGGAAGGATTAGTTTGTGCAGAATATAGGATTGTATAGTGATAAAAGATTATGTTAAGAGTTTCCCCTTTTTATATTTTTGTTCCATATTTAGTGTTTTTCTTTTGTTTTTCCTTCCTAATATATAATAATGATAGTAATAAAGGTCCTCTTTCCCCATGAGTGGTTAATTGCTGTAAATTGCTCTCATCTAGTTGATCAGGATTCCCCCACGTTCTATCATTTAGAAATGGAGAACTCCAACCCTGTCTTCTCAACAGTGAACTTGGGACCTCAGCTGCCTATGGCTGAGATATTACAAAAGTTAAAGTACAGGAGAAAAATATATAAATGACCTTATTTGGAAATACTAACTTTTGGCAAAGTTGGGAAACCAAACAGGTATCTTCATCAACCAATAATAAGTTAACATTTCCTTTTGACATGTAGATATGTCTCTGTCAAGCAGCAAGTGGACATCAGCCAAATGTGAATGGTCTCTTGGTTCATGGGATGCCTCTACAAACAAGAAATCTCCCCCTAATGGACAAGCTCCTGTAAGAAGTATAAAATTTTAATAGACTAGATTTAGGTAGATCACTGAGAAATAAAAGGAAAGCAGTCAGTGTATCAACATGCACGTATTAAGTACCTACCAAGGAATCATAGAGACATGTGGGGAATAAAAACATCTTAGGGATATGGTCTACACTTAAGTAATTGGTAGTATAACTGTAAAGAACAGATACAGACACACATGGGTAAAAAGAGACGTAACAATGTAGGACATTTTTGTGACTAAGTGCCAAGGGTGTGGGAACTCCAAAGAAGGGAGGCATTTTGGTGAGTAAGTGTAGGTTTTGAACTTGTCCTTAGAATATGGGAGTTTGGATAAGCAGAGAAGGGCAGTGAGGCTATTCTGGGTAGAAGGAATACTGGGGGTATAGGTTTGGAGACAGGAAAATACAAAATATTTAGAAGAGGACATAGACCATTTTTGCTTAAGTAGGATGAGATAGGTCAGAACTCTAATGCTTCTGGCCAAAGGTCATTGACAACCTTCCAGAATTAAAACACATCACAGCATGATTAGTGGAAAAACAGACTATGAAATTAATGAAGTTAATTTCCAGACTATGTATGGTTTTGAATGCCATTTTTAGACATCCATCCGTCATCCATCCTTAAAAGACCTCTTTTATTGCCTATTCCAGGTTGGGGCTGTTATGCATACAGGCACTATAAATATTCTTGCACAGGTCTTTTTTTGTGGACCTATGGTCTCATTTTTCTTAGGTCAATATGTAGAAGTAAAAGTGTTACAGGATACAATAAGTGTATATTTAATTTTATAAGAAACTTCTTTCCAAAGTAATTGTACAATTTTATACTTCCATCAGCAATATGTGAGTTTCAGTCGGGGGGCACATATATTTAAATCAGGAATTTGAAAGCAATAGAACATAGACTGGATTGAAGCAAGAGGACTTGAAGGTAAGGAGTCTAATACCGAAATTCAAGCATGAGTTGCTAAGGGTTTATACTCAGGTTAAAGCAAAGGATAAGAAAGGAACAAAATATTTTGAGATATTGTAAAAAAAAAAAAAATTCTATAAAAATAAAGGAATTGAAGTCAACTCTGAGATTCCAAGTTCAAGGAAAGCTTGTTAGGGGCTAAAGATGAGTTTGGTTTGGGGTATGTTAAGTTTACAATGGTGGGCCATTTGGTTGGAAATATGGAAGAGGTCAGATTTGGAGGTTGATCTAGAAGTCACCTGGCTAGAGATGATGATTAAATCCAGAATTATGAATAAGTCCAGAGGACAAAATCAAGATGAGCATCGAGTAGCTAAGGCTTAAACCTTCTGTAACTGGAAAGCAGTTAGAGTGTGTAAAGAAAACGTATAAGTGAATGGTTAGGAAGGCAGTAAGACCAGAAAGATGTCTTGAGAGTAAAGCTCAAGGATTAGCCCCATTCTTTAATGGGCATTTTTCCCTTCAAAGCCCTCCAAACACCGAGGCATATTTTGCACTAGAGGACAGCAAAGTGGCCTGAGAGGTTGAAGAACTCGCTGAAAAGCCAAAAGAACAGGTGGCAGAGCTTATTCTTTCACTTTCCCTCCATTTTGTTGAGCTTAGGTGCCTTACAATAGTAAAACATGCTCTCATTTGCTTAAAAACAAAAACAAAAACCCTGATTCTGTAGGGGAGAGTTTAAGTTATTGAACTGTTTGGGAATCAGAATGTTTACAGAGAAGTGTTGTATATCACAGATGTTTATGCAAATGGGGGTCTACTATGGTCCTGTTGCCCTGAGCAGAGCACAAAGCTCCAGACCCTTTGCCTGCTGCCAGCTTTCCTAAGAACCCAAGCCCTTCCCGCTGTGGGGTCCAGCTAGCTCAGCATTTTAATCTCTGCAGTTAGAGCCACACAGGGGCCACACTGCTCCCAAGCAGCAATACTTGCCTTTCAACTAAATCTTTCTGATGACATTCCTTCAGCACAAAAGAATACCTCAGATATGGAAAGAATCTCAGTCCCTGGAGTAAACTTTTGGGAAGCACCCTGTAGTACATTCCCCTCAAGTTAGGGATTGTGATGTCAGGTGAATAATAGACTTGCTTTCTCCATTCTAGTAATTATGTTATAATTGAAATGATCTCCTTCTTTTAAGAACACATTCTTATGTCTGAGCTAGATTATATAACTTCTAGAAACATAGTTTTGGAATGGTTTTTACTTTTGCACTTTCCCCCTTCAATGCATTTTATAGTCTAAGCCTTTTTTACCCTTTGAGTCATCTCCTTATACAGAGTATTCTTGGTTTCACTGTGGGTTTCTGATTTGACCACTAGAGAACTTGACGAGCTACTTAGGAGACCTGGGTCCAGTACCATCTTTTCAACCCGAAATTGGCCAAATCGAGCCTTGGAGCTAAGTACTTCAGCTCTGTCATATACAGTGCAGTCTGCTGGGAGACGAAATCCCCCACCATGCACCCTTCACCCCATCAGTACAAGCCATTCATGTGCTGGAACACCAAGACCTATGGAAGAAATCCACAGAGGCTCCCATGTGTAGTAGGTTTCAAAAGCAGAATTTCTGGAAACTATGGTATAACTAATGAAGAATTTACATAGAGAATGAATTTAAATATAAGATTGAAATATATGCCTAGAAACTAATAATTACGTATCTTATGATGGATTGCACACTGATTTAAATCCAGTAAAGAAAAAACGGGGGTTAAATCTGAATGAAATACAGATACTGGATCTTTCTGTTGATTTGGCTAAAGATTGTTTTGCAAATAAAATGTAGGCTAGAATACTTCAGTGACACTTAGCAAAGGAATAAAAGATATGTGTATTAAACATTTTCCTTAGTGGGAATATGCTCAGTGAAATTCATCCCAAAATAAAAGTTAATTCTCCTTTAATACTTTTCTGTATCATTGGGATCTGCTTATTCCATCGACAATGACAACTTTATAAACCTCAGGTAAGTAGTTGCTTATGTACCAGGAAAAATATCTCTTAGCACTTCTTAGGAAATAACACTAAATACATTCTCTTCCCTCTTTTCAACTTTCATTCACTAGACACCCTGAGCCTTATTGTGCAAAATTTTTTTAAAATAAAATTCTTTCATTAGCTGTTGATTCACAAAACATTCTAGGATGGTTTCTAAGACAATACCAAGAGTATGAGCTAATACAGCTGGAACTGTGTTTGGAATTCAGCTTCTAAATTAAGCACATCACTAGACTTCTCTCCCAACATGTTATATATCTTGATCTTGATTTTTTAATTTCTTGTTACAGTTTATCCTAACAGACTCAGTAAAAGAGGTGTCCAAAACTATCAAAAATCTTTTTCAGTTCATCAGGGTTCCCCTCTCCTGCTCACTATTATGTTGACGTAGCTCTATCTATACCAATATAGCTATAGATTCATTCACCTGGGGACAAGTGGTCTTGATGTATAATCAGTCTCTCAATCCTTCCGACAGTGCTTTCTTCAAAGTGGAAAAAATAAGCTGCTTTGTTTCTTCTGGGACACAGATGTCTCATTCAGTTTCAACTATTGTCCTGGGTATGATTAATACTGCAAAGTGCTCAGATCCCATGGAAGGGAATGAAAAGTTCAGGAACTTCACCTGGGAATGGATAGTAATAGTAGGTAGTCCCTCCTTATCTGCAGGGAATATGTTCCAAGACTCCCATGGAATGCCTGAAACCGTGGACAGTACCAAACCCTATATATACTATGTTCTTTCTTATACATATAGACCTGATAAAGTTTAACTTATAAATTAGCTAGGTAAGAAGAGATTAACAACTAGTAATAAAATAGAACAGTTTTAACAGTATACTGTATAGAAGTGAATGAGGTCTCTCGCTCAAAATATCTTGTACTCACCCCTGGTCTTGTGATGATATGAGATGATAAAATGCCTATGTGATGAGATGAAGTGCAGTGAGTGACACAGGCACTGTGATACAGCATTAAGCTACTACTGACCTGACCTGACGATATGTCAGGAGGATCATCTGCCTCCAGATCATGGTTGACTACCAGGTAACTGAAACCACAGAAAGCAAAACTGCAGATAAGGGTGGGGGACTGCTGTTACTGAAACAGGACAACCAGAAGGTCTAGAGCTGTGAATTCATTCAGACATGAGATTACAAATCCATGACTGGCAGAGAAGTGCACCACATAGGGAAAATTGTTTAAGTCCAGTTCTCTGGGAGACAAAGGGTTAACTTCCACTGTGTGCCCAGGATAGTTTAAACAGAAATCAGAAAATACTATGAAAAAACCCAAAACTCTGATTTCCCCAAATCCTTTAAGATCTCTTTAAAAACGTAGGCTTAAAAGCATCAAGTTTTCTGTGTATGACATTAAACCATCTGCTTCATTTATTTCTGATGTTTGCTTGTATTCTTATAACTTCATGCTTTCATATCTTGGCGTTCCCTGGTGGAATCTGCAGCCCAGTGGCAGCCAACTTGCACTCTCCATCACCAATGCCCCGGAGTCGAAATCATCTGCTGCCACCTATTGGCACAGCTGAAGCAGAACACTTGAGCCCTGTGGGGCCACAAAGGCAAACGGTATGTCTCCTTCCTGTTGCCTTTCCCTGTGCTTATAAACCTCATGGGCAACAATTGTGCAGAATCTGTACTCTCAATTCTGCAGAAGAGTCAAAATTAACTGAATTCTAATTTATGACAATGGATTTGGAGCTGTGTGGTCTGCAATTACCATGCCACGACAGATAACTTTCTATTTTTATCCCCTCTGCAGAAAAACCATGGTGATTTCAGTCGAGCTCAAAGTGCAGTGGTGGACAAGCCTAACTACCAGCAGCCCCAGGAGAGGCTCCTTTTACCTGACCTTTTCTCCAGGCCCAATACAATTCAGTCATTTCTGGTAGAGTGATGTACTTCCTCTGATAGGGCGTCGGGGGTGGGGTGGGGAACTAGCTTGGCAGACTTAAGACTTTACATAGTGACTTTATCAACTCTAAGAATAAAAACTGAGGCCCTAACAATGTACTTAAAAAATAATAGTGTTTTAAAGTACATTTTGTTGGAATTCTAACGGGTCTCCTCCATTCATTCTTTGAACTTTCAAAGAGTGAGGTAAAATGCCTTATACATAAATTTCAAATTCTAAACAATTTATAATTTAGATATTTCTGAGAATATGCAAAAAATTTAACTACCAGTACATACCAGATCAGTATAACTCCATTCTCCAACACTGCTCTTGGGGAATAATTATACCAAAAGTGGTGTCAGATTATGTAGACTGGTGAATGGATGAAGTAGCACTTTTCATTTTTATTTGTGTTTGAGATGTTGACATTGCCTTACTATTTAATGCATATGTACTAGCCCTTTTGCTTTTAAACAAGTAACAGAAATAACCTGGCTGGGAGACTGGAGGTCATGCACTGACCTTCTCTAATTACAGGTCTGAAAAGCTCAGCCCCACCTCATTTGCTTTGTGGTAAGTAGGCTTGGGGAAGCCTGGGAAGGTGGCTGTGGCCACACTTAGTGCCCAGACACTAGGTACCCCACATCCTACACCAGTTTCCAGGATGATGGTGTTTGCATCTCACTTATCCCAACTCATAACCTTTAATCTGTATTAGCCTAAAGTACTACAAGTTTTCCTTCACTGTAAGAAGGGTGAGAATAATAAATGAATGGGATCACAAATAGTGGCTTAAAACAACAGAAATTTATTCTCAGAACCAGAACCAAGAAGTACAAAATGAAGGGATCAGCAGAGCCATGTCACTTCTACAGGTTCTAAGGTCTTCCTAGCATCTGGCAGTTGCCAGCAATCCTTGGTATTCATGGTATAAAGCAACATCACTCCAAATTCTGCCTGTTTTCAGATGGCCTTCTTCACTGTGTATCTCTGTCCAAATTTCCCTCTTATAAAGATACCAGTCATTGAATTTAGGGCCTACCCCAGGCCAGTATGACCTTATCTTGATTATATCTGCAAAGATCCTATTTTCAAATAAAGTCACATTCACAGGTTCCAGGTAGACATAAATTCAATCCAACAGAGCTTGGGCTTAAGGGACAGAAACCAGAACACAGGCAAAAGGGAAATAAGCATTTGATTCTTACTCACTGTGAACCCTAGAAAGTTTGACAACCTCTATTAAATTTGTGTTGTAATTTGATCCAGGACATTTGTTAAGCACTGTTTGATGACTGTAATCTGTAACTAGATTCTCTATCAAACATTTTATTTGTGGTTGCCTTAGAAATTAAACTGAACACATTAAAACACTTCAAAGTTCCTTCCTTTTTAGATATTTGTAACAATAAGTTATAACAAAATTTCTTATCTTAGCCATTTCCCTCCCAATATGCTGTCATGTAAAGGGAGATGAACTCATAGCTCAATGTAATTAAGAGCAGTGATCCAAGTCATGGGCCTGGCACTGCCAGACTGGCACTCTGCTCCTTGGTGTTCTCATCTAGAATGGGAGTCAGCAAACTATGGTTCATGGGCCATTTAGCTTCCTGGCTGTTTTTAGACCAGAGCCACCACTAATTCATTATTTACTGTCTATGCCTGCTTTCCTACTACACCACCACAAGTGAGTAGTTGCCAATGACGACAGTATATACCTCAAAACCTAAAATAGTTACTTCCTGGTCCTCTACAAAGAAAGTAAGTTTGCTGACCTTTGATCCAAAGCATGGGCTTCACCAGAAAAATTCCTGAGATCCCTTGACTCCAGTGCCCCTGTTGACAGGGAACTGAGAAGAATGTTTTTATTCTAGAAGTGCCAGGCGGATGGCACCGATTAATTTTTGATTATTTGCATTTTAATATTTTAGTCATATCTTAAAATCTTTAAATTCTTTGAGGTAATTTTTACATATTTCAGTTTCATTTTGAGAGTCACATCTCAAGTATGGAGATAAAGTTATGGATATTTCAATGCTGCAGAAAAGGCTCTGTTGTTTTCAACAGTTAAGAGGCAATAGATAAAATTCCCTTGGCAGTCAATTATAAATATTCAGAAATATTAAACCATTGGATTATTTATAAATGCTAAGATTTTCTGAAAGGCAGATTAATAAAACTGAAGAACTTACAATTTTTACAAATCAGCAAATGGCTTTGTGGGTCTCTGACTTGAGATTTTTTACTTGGAATGTAACAGAGTACTCAGCTAACCTGTCCCTCAGATTGGCAGATGATGCCATTTACATTGTTGTCTGATTTTGAGGCTTTCCGTTGTAACCTACTGAAGTACTATCCTTTGAAAGAAGTCACATTTTAAGAAGTGTCTCATCTTTGCTCTCTTTCAGCCAGAAACACAGTATCATCGTTCATGCACTATTGAGTACCCTCATCAGGCCCAACCTGGTAGGGGCTCTGCAGGGACAGGTAGGACCATGACTCTTATTTTACCATGTAAATATGTTAAGACCCTGCCTTTGTCTTACTTTTTTCTATGCTTACTTTCCCTTCCTCCAGATTTTATTATATTTTTGTTTTCCTACATCTTTATATATCACTACAAATTCATTTCTGGATGGGACATAATAAAAAAAAGAATTCTATTGCTCAGAACCAGAAAGTTCCAGATTTCTGTTTTCTCATATATAAATTATATAAATTAACCTCTCACTCCTCTAAATTTTAATCTAAAATTTAAGCCAAGTAAGTCATTTTTATATAACATTCAAACACTGAGTGCATTTTTGTTATGTAAGCAAAATCTGTATTGCTATGAATTAAACTGCTTTGGTCAGTTAGCCTGCTAGGTCAAGAAAAGAAATTCCAAAATGTTAAAATATTCTGAGTCTGTTTCTATTCTATTAACTTTTTTGATTTCTAAATTATATTCTTTAGATTCTATTTTCACAGAAGTGACAGGAGTAAATTTAAGGGTGTGTTCATTCCTCCTATAATGGTTTTCTCTCCATCATCAGGGTCATTCTCATTACGTAGTAGGTGAAATTCAGAAGTACTGGACAATTGAAATGGTTCCTGCTAATAATAAAGCTTACTCAGCAAGTATATTAAAAAATAATCTGCTTCAAACCAGCTCTGTAGTCCTGGTGAATTCCCTTAGTTCATCTCCTAGTGGCATTGTTTGGTAGTCTTTTTTCTGCCTTCAATGAATCCTATTGGATTAGTTTTCATTGAAAAGCAATGAGCTCGTTACTGTATTCAGCCATACTGATGGTCAGGTTAACTAGCATAACATTGAGGTAAGCAAAACAGACATTACAGTCCTTTTAAATCAGTGGGATCTCTAAAACTAGGTTAAGGCTTTCATATCTTAATATGGATATTTGTTTTTACATGATAAAATAAGCAAATGTGGATTGTATTGACTTGGTAAATATAATCTTTACTATTTAGTCCCAGTCTCCAAATTTAAAGTGCAACTGATAATGGGAACAAAAAAGCCCTTTGAGATTACCAAATCTAGAGTGTCTACTAATGTTACTCTATGATGTCACCTTTGTCTGACAGGACCTCAGTTACATGGGTCTATGCAATCTCAAAACAGAGGCGCAGTCTCTAGAACCAGGCAAGGACCATAGAGCAAATGAGAAGAACCTGCTTCAGGCTACAGGGAATACATGGGAAGATTTCACGAATCAGTGTTCAGTCATCTTGTGATGCAGAGCTCATTTACAAGAGACAATGGTAAAACCATCTTCACAAAGAGTTATTTTGGTACAATTGAGAAAAAAACAACAGAGTACCTGCCAACAATTATATGGGTACTATTTCAATCTCTGGTTACTGTCTTCTTTCAGCATAAATTAACCTATTCCACTGGACAGTAAAGTTTGTACCCAAAGATGTAACAAATAAATAATTATCCCCAAATCACTGCTCATGTCTGTTAACAATCATCAGTTACAGGATTCTATGAGACTATACACACACAAAAGGCAGGAAATGATTGTCTGATAACATTAAGTTATCGCTGGCTTCAGAATACTTCTGCTTATATTAATTTCTATACTCAGTTTTAAGTCACTGTTAGAACACAGTGCTGTAAAAAATCTGAGCTCCTCATCAAACAGATGTTTTCCCTAGAACTTTCTCCTTTGATGTTCAATTCCATAGGCAGAAAGATACAGTTGGGGTAACTAAAGACATAAATGTTGAGCACAAGTATAAAGTAACTTACGTTATAAATCACGATGCCTATTTTCTTTTCAGATAGGACAGCTCAACCTCACAATGCCTGCTTGATACCAGGTTATGCTTATCTTCTTGAAGTACTTTAGTGCTTATAAATATATTTTTTCTAAATATTAAACCCAACTTCCAGATTTTCTCCTGCACCTAAGAAAGTAAATGAAAACATTTATAGAATCTGTTATAGATTTATAGAATTTATAGAGCCAGCAAGATGAAATTCCTTAAAAATTTCAGAAACTGGCAATTCATCAAGTATAAACATATCCTAAGTTTAAGTAGGAACTTCAGCATTCTTCTAATTTTACCAAGACCTTTTCCTGAGTGCAATCATGAATTACAGCCATGGTTTTAACTGTGGCTTAAATTTATTTTATTCAAATTTCATCAACTTTAATTTTGATAATCATACTGGTTTTAGATCTTACTATTCATCTTCAGAGTGGGTAAAATCAAGTGATCAGATATTAGGGTAATTTTTTTATTATATCAAAGTGTTCTAATGCTATCGTATGAAGACAGATGCTTCAAACAACCCGCATTAAATTATATTTTTAATAGAATTAAAGAGTATTTCACCCATTTGTAATCACAAACTAAAAATGTGTCATGTGCTTACCTCAGATAAATTATGATACATAACGCTCAGTAATAGAAGGCTTGTTTAATGCATATGGTATTAAATATTAGTCTACAAATCAGAGATTTTTTAAGTTGAACAGTCCCTAAAAAATTTCCATATATTCCAATGAATACATACCAATTCAATTATATATAACTGAAAACCTCTCTACTGTTCTCATAAATCAGTATTATGAATACATAATAATCCAAGCCATCTTGAATCACAATAGCTTGCCTTTAAAAGTTAAGAGTTAATAAAAGTCAGAAAGAGCCTCTAAGTCATTTAGCTCAACTCCCTCACCCTTTTACAGATGAGAAGTTCAGACAAGCTCAGTGATGTAAGGACATTCAGCAGTTACAGGCAGGACCACACCCTCTCTCTGTACTATTTAAAGCAGGCCATACTGTACTGTTTGCTAAGATTACTCTTCTCTCTTCTCTATCCTAAACATTCATGTTTTGTCTAGATATTTTAAATGATCACTGGGATCATTTTAAAAGCCCCAAGATTTTAGTCATTTTGTGCTTGTTTACTTAATCATGTATAAGTCTTACAAAGATGCCTGAAGTAATCTGAACACCTATTTCTCCTATATTTCAAGCAAAGAGTGCAAAACCTGGTTGAGTAAAACAAAAAGGAGAGAGAGTCTATTCAAGAATACTAAGACCAAAAACAAACTGGCAAGTATTTGGAAGATAGAAGTCCAGCAGCTGTTCAAAAGATGTTCTCTCTAGGTAGAGTACCTGTTCTAATAAACACATATGTCACTCTGAACATGCTGAAGCTCCTGTGTGACAAAATGCCAACTGTTTAGGCCCTTATTCTTGAGTTTGTCCTACAGAGATCCATAGAAGCAAGTGCTGTCAACAAGTACACCACCTCCCCAGTTCCCTCAAGGATCACCAACAAATTCCTTCATACAAGGACCTCACAGAAGGTCAGGGGAGTTCTAGAATATACTAAAATCATACTGAGAGATTCTACTTGATTTATATGGTTGATCTTAATACTTGAGGCTGGAAAGAAAATTTTCTCAAAGGTTGGATTAACATTTGTCTTCAAATCTTGACTGTATCTTGCTTACAATGGCACCAATTAACACCTAAGGACCTTTGAAGACAAGTTCCATTATTTTTTTTCTTTCTTGAGAGTTGTTTTTTTCCCACCTCGTTTGGAAGGTTTGCAGTACTTTGCTTCCATCTGAGCCAGAAAATTGTCCATTTCCTGTTGCCGATCCTTTTGTCTGCTCTGTTTGAGAAGTTAAAACACAAACTTTCAAAACACAAGACTATAGAAACAATGGTACTTTGTGGTTGCCAGAGGATGGTGGAAAGGAGAAAGGGGACTGACTGCTAATGGATACAGGGTTTCTTTTTAGGGTGATGAAAATGCTGGGGAATTAGTGCTGATTGTTGTTCAACTTGATGTATCTATTAAAAACCACTGAACTGTATGCTTTAAAAAGGATGACTCATAGCACATAAATTACATCTCAAAAGAAAACAAAATACCCACAATACTATACACACACTCCAAAAAAAATATTAGGAGTAGGAATCAGAACATGAAAGAAGTTCAAACTTCATAGACAACCTGCCAAGTTTACCTGAATGAGTGCTTTCAAGTTATCTACTCCTTCATCAAGCCCCAACTCCTTCTTGCTCATTTCAGCTTCTTTAGCCTCTTCCTGAGCCTGAAACAGAAATTCATGTGAGACTCCATGGCAACCTAGCAAAAGCTAAAAATATATCCTTTTTCCCAAAAGTAAATCTATGATAAAACCTTTTCAATTTGAAGATTATATAAATTACATAAATATGCTATTCATTAAAAGGCAACACTGCTGAAAGCAAGCAGTAGTTCCTGATTCCAATAAGCATTTCTGAGTTTCCCCATTTCTACTTAACAGAAGCATAAACTACATGGTGATAGAAAGAAAACAAAATGCTAAAAGAGCTAGGAAAAGACACTTAACCAAGAATGCCCTCAAAAATATTGCCAGGATACAGGCACCTCAGATTCCTCCTCTGGAAATCCAATTTACTACATATGGCTGGTGGCAGCCTAGAGAGCAAACCTGGTTACAATTCCCTGAGTAGTCAGAATAAATGCAAACAAAAGTTTTAACCTTTTTTCACCTGGTTCCAAAGCCACTTTCTGTTGCCAGATTTTCCTAGGGCACTGATTACAAAATACCATAAAATACCTTGGGAAAGGTTAAGTTCATTCTCTCCTTCAGGGCAAGAACTATGACTCTACCCCAAATTCCCAGTGAATTTTCTAAACAATAATGAATACAATTAATACTGAGAATGATAATACACTAGGACTTTGTTTTTCCAATAAAGGGACAGTTTCCATGTCTATTTTCAGTCCTTGTATTCAATTTCTCTCTTTTAATACTGTATCCCTTCTCCCCAAGTTTGTTGAACCATCTCTATACTATGCCATTTCTCCATACCCCTTAACTCGTAGGAAGCTTCTCAAGCTAATAGTCTATTACTGAATACAGCTGTATTCAGTTTCACCTGAGAAAATGATTATCAACTTAAGATAAACTATCAGCTTAGGCTGAAACAGACCATGTATATAGAGGCTGTGGACCTATCTCTACCCCCAATTCACCCATGTAAAGTAAGATACCCACCACCTCAGATCTAATATCTTACACTGTTTGCTCTTCATGGAGCTCCCATTATAAAAGCCAGGTTGAGGCAAAGGCTACTTCAAACAGTCTTTCCTTCCCAAAAGACGAGAGGCACAGATGCTTGCTGCCTTGAATCCATTCCCTTCCAGAATCCCAGCTGTCCCTTAAACTCCTTTCTCCTGCCATCATCCCTACCCCAACTAACTCCACAGTTTAATAGAGGTGTAAAAGACACACAGGTCACAATCCTTGATTCTCAGTAAGTGTTCCTCAAAGTGTGTTTGGAAAGATGTCAAAATAAACCGTTTGTTTAAAAAAATGGATATTCTGAGTCCAACTCAAGTATCAATCTAGACAAGAGCAAAGAACTCTTCACTAACAATACAAAGTGGGAAAAAAAATGTTTCTGTCACCCTTTCCCCACCCCTTAACCAAGTGAGAACCACTGTCTTTTATCTGGACGCCGTATATCTTAACGAATGCCTCAACAAACCTACAAGAATTGGCCCATATGAAGAATACTTCAATATTATTTTAAGATGATTTTAATAATTTTAAACTATCCAGGTGGAAAAGTAAAAACCTCTTGAGCACTACCTTCCAGGAGAAAAGAAATTTCTGTTGATGAGCTGGTATGCTCACTTTTATTAGATGAAAACTATACAAGTTAAACCTTATCCTTATTTCAGCAGTCTTGTATATATTTCTATTACTGTAAATATTCTCAAATTCTTTTTGGAAGCAGTCAAGAGATACATAATAAAGAGCATTCAAAAGCTTACCCTCCTTTTCCTCGCATTCATCTTTTGCTTTGATTCTTTAACAAAGGTGTTATAGGATGGGACCTCTCCAGCATCAATGGCTTGCTGAATAATATTCCTTATCCTGGGTTCCTCTGTGTACTGCACACACAGCACAGACTCCATGATCTTGTCCATGTCACCTTTGAAGTCCAGATAGGCCTGTTTAATATCAGCCAGCTCTTCTTCAGAACCTTTGTATGTCTTCTCAAATGCCTGAATGTCTTCTAGAGATATCTGAACAAATGAGAGGTTCATGTTCTAACTTTAAAATTTTATTTTAAATTAAAGATATTCTACTAAAACTAGATTTAGGTGTTGAAATGTCTTCTCCCCAAATACAACAGCTGCTTGAGTTGAAATTACTGCAAGGAACCAAATTTTCTATGTTAAAGCTTTTCCACAGAGTTCTCCCTAGTCTAACCTTCACAACTGCTAAATTTTGGACCAGGAAAATTTAAGTGAAGTTTTCAAAAGTGGGAAGAGACCCAGAAAACTACTCAGGGCTTAAATTTGGATATGCGAAATAAAGCACATCTTGTAAAAAAATTACATGCTCCCTTTTCACTACAATCACTTTCCATCAATAGGAAATTAAAGACCATTTCAATAAGCGTGTGTGCATGTATATGTGCCAGCCTATATATACACAGTTCAACCTGATGGTTACATAGATTTGTTCTTAGATACGTATAATCTTCTGAGGAATATGTGTGTTTACTTACCAAGAGACCACAGAAATTCCTCATTCACAACACAAAATGCAAGGCTAAATAAAGCACTCACTTAATGTTTGTTGAATTAATTACATAAATAGTCACAAAGAAAACTCAAGTTTCTCTACCTTTTTAAAGAGTAATCTCCAATACGTCTCCCAGTCCCGATCTTGGGTGAGCATATCCGAATCCTCATCCACTGTTCCCTGCTCATCGTACACTGCTCTCTGCTCCCTGTCACTCAGAACGGAATAAACTTTCCCGAGGATCTGCGAGAAAAGAGCATCCAGAAGTTACTCCTGCACCTTTCACTGAAACCGCGCCGCGAGAAATAAAAATTAGAAAACGCCATGCGGGGCCAGGCGGCCAGAAGACCGAGAGACGCCCGAACGGCGGGTGGAGCAAGACTCGCGCACCTGGAAGCGGCGGGTGGCGTCCTCCTTGTCGCCCTCGCCCACCCGGTCCGGGTGCACCAGCAGAGACACCTTGTGGTAGCCGCGCCGAACCTCGCCGTCCGAGGCCTCGCGCCGCACGCCCAACACTTGGTAAAGGTCGGCGGTGCCGAACACTTTCTCGCACAATTCCAGAAACCCCATGGCCTGCAGAGGCGCCCGGGCGGCAGCCTCGGCGAAAACAGCCGGTCCCACTTCACAGCCGAGCGCACCGGCCTGCTTCCTTTTCCCGCGCTAAAAGCCAAGGTTGCCGGCGTCACAAGCAGCACGGGAAGGGGTGTGGCCAAGACGCCGCACTTTACGGCGGCTGCAGAACGGGGCGTGGCCAGACGCTCCTTGACCTGGATTTAAAGGGAGCGCGCCGACGTCTCCACTTTTACGAGAGAGGGAAACTTCTTCCTCCACGGCTCTGAGCCTCTTACTCTAGAAACTTGGCGCCCTTCTTCTCCCGCGTGCCCCAGCGAACCTTAGTCAATATATGGAACGTTCATATTAAGTCGAATCTATACATTGCTGTTTTGTTTTTAACTAAAAAAAGGCGTGACATTGGCATGTGATGATTTGACATGGGTTAGCCTAATGGTTACATAGATTTGCTCTTTTCCAAAGATAATCATGACAAGAGCATACAGAGCTCTCAAGACCAAATAATTTTGGAACCTACAGGTTGCGACTTCTGGGATGGTATATTCCCTGAGCCCTGTGGGAAAGAAAAAGAAACTCTCCATTAAACAAAAAGCACAAAATACCCGCCTTTTAAAAACTTTCTGATGGGATTTAAAGATTTAACATTTATTACACAGTCATTCCCATTCACCTACCAGTTTCTGAATCACCTTCCACTTTGGTGGAGATAACATTAACCCAATTTCTCATCTTAATAAAAATACAAGCTGCTGAAGCAAAAGCTCTTTTTTTAATGCTTTCTAAAGTGCACAATTGGGTTTAAGCCTGTTGGATTCGTGGTAGCAAGAGAAGCTGATGAAATTACCCAAGATGTGGTGAGAAATCCTGGTCTGGAGATCCAAAGCAGGGATAGGGCTAGAGAAATCTTTGGAAATCAGGAGGGGATGAGCTCGTGCTGGATGTATACAGATGTCAGACAAAGACAGACCAAGGTACAAAGTAGATACTTGAGTTGGCAGAAATTCAGCAGCTCAGAATACCTATTTCACATCACTAGTCAATACTTTACAGAATCACATTCTCCTCTGCCCTACCAATTAAAGTTTCTCTACAGACCTTGAACTCTCCAGGATTACTACTTTTTAAACGTCCAGAGTTCCTAAGGTTTTCAAAACATTTCTTTTTCCCAGATCCAAGATCAAACCCAGGCAAAGTCAGTTCCTCTTGTCCTGCCCTGTCTTCATAATCTCCTCAAAGCAAGTGGAGGCCAACCAGTGACAATCCTGAGAGACCTGATAAAGATTTGAGGTGGCTGGTAATTGTTCTCGTAATGCAAAATCCAGAGAATAAAATAAGTTGGTACATTGGGCTTTAGATGCCTTTATAAATCTATATCCTAGTCCTATGCTAGAATTTGAAATCTGTTTTTTGTCCAGAATGCACTCTAAAACTATCTAATCCATGCTTATGGTTGATTTTAGAAGCCTGTTTCCGGTGGAACAAATATATATTTTGTGTTTTTGGCACAGCAAGTCATTTTTATTACCAAACTCATGAAACCTAAGCCCGTTTCTCTCACTGTCTTTTTGTTTTGTTTTGTTTTTTCTTCATTTTCTCTCATTGCCTTTTAAATGACCTTTTGAAAAGCCCTTCATCCTTGCTCATGTCCCTCCTCTTATGCTCCCCACAATAAATATGTTGGTCAGGCCTCTTTCAGATAGGCACCTTGGTGTTTGAATCTTAGATCTGCAAAATATTAAAATTATGCAGCCTTGGGCGAGTTTCCACCTCTGAACTTCAGCTTCCCCTTCTATAAAAAAATGCAAATAATCCTACCTATTTTCATGATCTTATAATCTTCACAAATAACCTTGCATGTAAAGGGCCTAGAATATATTTAGGTACTTTACAATATTAGCTTTCTTCCAGTTTCTCACTCCTAAAAAGTAGGCTATTGCAGCCTAAAAGCACATAAATCTACCTTTGTAACTTTGAGGTTATGAGTCAAGCAAGACAATATAAATCTCAATTAAGAAAAAAAGACAAATCATTGTATTCTTGAGGTGGTGGGATGACCATTAAATAATTAAAGGAATTACTTGGATGGGCTATAAACAGGCTGGTTGGGAATCTGAAACAGGGTAGTCTTGGAAGGCAGCCGACTATGTATAAAGTTGTACAAGAGACCCAGGGCCCAACTCAAAGTCCAACCCATCCCACAGCCAGTCTTTCCCCCAGATGAAAGCTGAAAAAGCTAATTAGGACCTAGACCCAACTCTTTGACAGACAAGAACAATCTCTCTGTGGGCCCTGCTCAGGCCAGGTCAGAAGATCATGAGTGATTTGGAAAACTCCATTTATTGACTTCTAAATCTAATTGAAAAAGAGCTCTGCACAAGTGTTTTAAAAGGACTTTGACCTTCTTCGCACTGCTATGCTCAATGAGGTCCACTTGCTTTTGTTTCTGTAGCTTCTGTGTCTATTTTCTGAGATGCCAGAAAGACTTCGTGTGCCCGTTTCCGTCGCAGCCTCTCAGCATTTGTGATCATCATCGGATGCAGAGGGAAAAAGCCAGAAAGACCTAAAAGCAAGGGGATTTTCGGTCATTATAACATAGTACAAGTTAATGGTTCCCTGGGAATTGAGCCTCACAGAACTGAACTCTAATAAAGACCTGACCTAGAGTATGGATTTAAAACATGCTCCTCACTTGTCAAACTGTCTTACCTCTTCCCCCAACTCCCTCCCCTTCATTTACTTCAAGGAGACAATGGATGTTGTCTACTTTGTCCCCTTTACTTGAAAAAAAAATAAACTGACAAATGGCCATTCAAGACACATTATTCTCATTTTTAGCATAAAATCCCAGTCACCTAAAAAAAAATCTCACAAAGGAGTCAAAGAAAGGGATCTCCAGATTCAAAATGGCAATTATATCACTTCAGCACTCATTCCAGACCTGAGTAGCATGGAGGTAATGAAAATGACCCAGAATTCTCATTATTCTGGAATTGACTTCAATTTAAAATGCCCTTAACAAGGAAAGCTAGAGCTGAGTTACCCAGAAGCTTTTCCACAGGCTTAGAGAGATGGGCTCCACAGCCAATCCAGTGCCGGATCCGATCCAGGTTGAGAGCAACAAGCTTCTCTCCATGACTGTTGGGCAGTGGATCATAGGAGCCCAGCTGCTCCACAAAACGGCCGTCCCTGGGACACTTGTTGTGCGCAGCTACGATGCGGTAGAAAGGCCGGTTGGTACAGCCGCCCAGGGCAAGGCGGATGGTTAAGTGGCCTCCGTGGTAGGTCTTGCAGAGGAGAGTAGCTGTGGTTAAGACACAAGAACGGAGGGTACAAAATGAGTAGATAAAACAATCCCCTTCCTCCACTGAAATGTCCTTACTCCCAACCAGTTCTTGTCAATCTGATACCGGGTTAGGTAACACCTTCTTTGTGAAATTCCTCTTATGCACTCCAGCCAGAAATGAGTTCCTCCTCATCCCCCAGTACACTCAGCACAGGCCTGCCGTTTAATAGCTCTGTGACCATGTCGAAGCTTCAGCTACCTTATCTATAAAATGAACGCAGTTCATTTCTGGGTTTAAACGAGAATTCAGTGAGAAAAAAAACTGAGGGGTCGATCAAAAGTAAAGCTGCGTGGCTGTCTCAGGCTTGGCTTACTGCCAACTCGCCTAGAAGCGCGCTGTTTCGCCGGGTGCCGCACGTCCCAAGCCGCCGCGAACGCCCGGAAAGTATCTCGCGGCCCGCCACTTACTGAGCTGGACCATGGTGCAGCCGGCACGCGCGGGGGCCTATGTGCCAGCTGTGGCGCCTCGGCCCGTCCCGCCGCCCGCACGGGCCAACCCTACCGCCTCCAGCAGGGGCGGGGACCACCGGACTCGCCCCCAGCAACGCAGGCCCTAGAGCCTGGGTGTCGGAAGTGATTCGTCCACTCGTCCCGCCTCTTCCGCTTGCTATCCCTACACTTCCCATAATGCAACACCATAAACCTTAACCGGCCTTAAAACTGCTGCAAAGACAGACGTACTGCCATTTGCGTGAAGCCCTGTGGTTTGGCTGGTCCTCTATGTCCTATGGGTCCCTGCCGGAGTGCGGAGTGTTGGGAAGATACTGGGAACGGCGAAGAGAATGTCAGAAGTGCTTCACAAATCCATCCCTCCTGCGAACGTTTTCTGAGCATCTGTTTGAGGAAGGCGGTGCTGACGGCGCACTGATGAGCCCCTTTCCCCAGCAAAGACGCTCACAGTCTGGCAGGGAGACCGGTTACACCGGAGTAACTAGGGATGTCTGCACGGTGCTAGAGGTGCAGAGGAGAGGGAAAACCTTATACTTCCTTGGTGCCTCAGGAAAACTTCATAAAGGAGGTAGCATTAAGGCCGAGGCTAGAGAGACTGAGTGAATATCGCTTATTTTATCCTTCTGTGTTTACTGCTATGCTTCTCACCTTCCTCCTGTTCTGCCTCCTGCTTTAAAAGATAAAGGGGGGTAGAGTGGGGTTTTTGCTGTGCAGTGATCCAGGAAGACGGGTCAAGTGTGGTTCCTTTGTCATTTCTAGCCCTAGAGTAATGCCTAAGTTGTGAGGAGTTTTGTATCTGTTACAGAGTAATGGGCTCCATCAAGAGATGGAGACTCCACCTTCAGCAAAAGATCTCCTATTCAGCTGCCCACTTCACTGTGGATCCAGAGCCTAGACATAAGTTAACACTCATTGCTTTCACACAGTGACCCAGTATGGCATTCTTTCTTTAGACCTTCCTTAGAAAAAGATGCCTTAATTCCCAAGTTTGAGTAAGTGAACCTGGCCAGAGACCCTAGCATTTCACTTCCAGGATCAGAGTGATGCTGATAAGCTTTCACCAGAAACCCTAATAATAAACTCGTTATACCTTAATTATATATATAAATAGTACTTTTATGTATACCTTAATCAATTCCAGAACGACACTGATGAATTTTTAATCTTATTTCCATTTTTATTGTCATCTAGTTTATTGTCAGTCAGTAAAACATCCAGTAACATAGCAATCCAGTAAGATAGCCAATGGAAGTAAATGAGTGGGTTTCTATCAAGGGTAAAAATTCTTTCTGTTCTCCATTCCCAGGCCTTACATGGTGCAACGTTGAGGATTTAATTTCTCTCAGAAGGAAAGGAGTTCTGAGTCCCATACAGAAAACTTCTTCAGCTGGAAGGATGTCAAAAAGACGGGTCTCCAAAGCCAACGGTCTCCTGTACCATGTGGATCTCTGCAAGCAGAGCCTCATCTTTCAGTTTCAGCTGCATGAGAGGAAGGAAGGGAAGGACGTTTGTCATGCCTGATACAGCTATGTAGAGACCCCTACATAGCTGTGGGGCCACAGCTAAAGGTCGTAATTCCTTGGGATGGAATTGGCCTTTCCTATATTCCCTACCTCATGGAAATGCCATGAAAGGAACTCAGAACATTTTGCTGGTTACATGTTCACTTTATGAAAATTCATCAAGTGGTAAGAACATTAACAATTTGTGCAATTTTTTGTAAAATAATAAGTTTATTTTTGAAAGTTCACATTATCACCCAATGTATCTTGACTAATATGTAATATGTCTAATGGCAGGTGACAGAAATGAATCAAAGATATTAGATCTTAATTTAATTTTAGAATCTAGTTGTGTAGTAGAAACATCTAGTTGCCTACTGAATATCCCTTCTCCTTTTTTGCTAATAAAATCTTCATTTCTTTTCAGGGCAGCAGTGCAAACAGGTTTAAAAAAAAAGCCACATTTCCTGTTTCCCTTGCATCTAGGGGTAGTCTTAGGACCAAATATGACCAATGAAATGTTAAGCTAATATTGCTCTTTAAAGGAAGTAATATAGCATGGCCCCTTTATCTTTTCCCCCATTTTTGCTTTTTATTGTGCCTGAAACATGAATATGGTGGCTGAAATTACAATGGCTGACTTACAACTATGAGGGATGGAAACTGCATGCTATGATTAGTGGTGCAGAAATTTAGAAAGAGGTTGGGTCACTGTTGACATGGTGTAGCTGTGATACCACCCCTGAACTTTCCATTAGATGAGAAAAATAAAACAACTAATATGTTTAAGCCACTCTCTTTCAAGTTAAATTACTTGCACTTTGTAACTGATAGAATTTGGGAGACCACTGCTCATGAGCTAAATCCCGACTGCTGCCTGTTTTGTAAGTAAGGTTTTGACATGCAGCCCCACTCATTTGTATTGTCTATGGCTGCCCTTGCACTACAAGGACAGAGTGTAGTAGTAAAAGAAATCATTTGGTCCACAAAGCCTAAAATATTTCCTATTTTGCCCTTTACAGAAAAAGTTTGCTGACCCTTGGACTAGACTAACACCTTCATTTTACACATGAGGAAAATAAGGCCCAGTAAGTTAACGACAAAACTAGGACCATCACTCAGGAATACTGATTCCCAGGCCATCTGTCCTTCTATTAAACCAAATTCTCTAAAGAAGTACAAAAAAAGAACCCCCATGGTAACCTGTGGGTTATTATTCCAAATCCAGCATCCCTGTGATAATGGCAAAGATGGTAAGAAAAGCCTCTAGAAAAATAATATGAAATGCTGTAAAGGCCTGAATTAAACCAGCACCTTCCTCCCAGTTTTCCAGCCTCAATACAGAACAAACAGCAGAGGCACCTGCATCATACCTTCACTGTGTACTTGTAGGCCTGCTCAGCTTCCAGCTGCCGTCCAGCCTGAAAAAGGAGAAGCACCTGGTGGTAATGACATAAACATGGTGGGGAAGTGCATTGCCACAAACATTTCTGCCTAAAGCAGAGAATTCCACATCTTAGTTAAGAATCTTTGAATTTATATATATCTATGAAAAAAATCTCTCCACTTCAAAAAGCTTAAAGACAACACAGCATTTTTTCCTTTCAGAGTTTATTTAAATTATTCTGCTAATAATAGCTAATACATAGTGCTTACTTTGTGGTTTACATTGTTTTAATTGTTTATATTGCTGTAAGTGCTTTACATACTCTCACTCCTAACCCTCAAAACAAACCTAGGGTATAACGTCTATTCCTAATTCCTGGTTTACAGACAGAGAAACCTAAACACAGTAACTTACCAGGGTGTCTTGTGCCAGTCTCAGACTATGAAAAGTATTAAAAGAAAAAATTCATGCAAGTAAATTTGAAGTTCTAATTGGCTTTATTAAGCAATTTATAAATGGGGCAGCATCTCCCCAGCAAGTAGAAATGCTCCAAGGAATTGTACAAAATGGAAGGGCTTTATAACTAGGCGTTTGGGGGAAAAGAAAGCAGGAGAAAAGAAGGGATTGTTTTGAACAAGGTCAAAAATAGGCTGTGTGGGTAAAATTGCAGTATTTCCAGAATCTCTCACCTGGCCTTGTGTATCTCCATATCAATAGGTGTTTCCAAGGGGTGGAGAGAAGTAGTCCACCTCCATATCAATAGGTGATTACAAGGGGGTTTGGGAGCAAGGGCATAACTGGACCGGAGAGGTGTAGTGGGGTCCTATTTGCAGCTGGATCACGAGAGACACGGGTGAGCAGAAGTACACGACTGCTTGTAAGCAATAAATGGGTTTCTCCCACTTTATTTCTCCTTTTGACTGATTTTGGCTCCAAAGGTTATTTGCCCCAGGCTGGGAACATATCTTCCCCTGGAGTTACAGGGGGTCTTACAGATTACTTCATTACCTTTTAGGAAAGGTGGAGGAGGCTCATGTGATAGATTTTCTTACTGGTGATGCTTACCTGAAAATTCTTAACCAACTACATTTCTGGGGGAGGTTGAAACTGTAATTAGGTTCAGGTATGAAACCCCAGTTTGATGACACAGCCTAGCATAAGTAACGCCAGGTTGGGTCTGTGTCTTTTTAACAAGTGTAATGCTATTGGCTAAAAATGCCTGGAGCACTCACCTGGGCCGTGGTGAGCTTCCCACAGATATCTCCCTGATGCTCTGGGAGGAGGAGGTTCCCTCCTCTGGGCAAGTTCACTATGAATTTGCTGAGACTGAATAAAGACAAGAGCAAGTTGTGGTGGGCCATTAAAAGGGGTTCATACGTTTATTCTCATGGTGGTCACCTAGCTATGTACAAGTGGCAAAGACAGCCTAGTGTCTCCCTGCCCTGGCACTGCTCCCTCCTCCCCAGCATGGGCTTAATCCTCTCCTAGCATTGGGCTCCACAGCTTCTCTCTGCCAGCCTCTGTTCTCTCCTGGCTCTCCTTCTAGGCTTTACTTCTCCACCCTCCTAAGCTTTCTGCTTAGGCTCTCCACTTTCCCTGCTCTTCTCCACTCTCCCATTCTCTGCTTCCCTGCCCCTAGTACCAGGAGAAACTCCATGGGTGGGTCTCTGTGGTGACTAGCAGATGCTAACCAATTTTATCAGGAACTGAGGATAAGAAAGAATGGATGTTTACCCTCCTTCCCTGCCCTGGTCCAGTATTCTCCTATCTGACCAGCTGCTCTGTCCCTGGTAAACAACCTGCTGCCCATAGATATGCAGACAGGCTCTCTGTGTACACAATGGGCGATATAGAGGCCAGGCTGGTATACTGGTCAGAAGTTTCCATTTTCTCTATACTCCTCTTTCACTGTGGATCCAAATACTGGATGGACCCGGGTGGTTCTTACTATGATTTCAAGTTGTCCTTTAGAAAAACCATTAGGAAACTTTGAAGAAATGAAAGGTTTACAACTTACAAGACCTATAAATTACATTCATATGGGGAACACACAGCAAGGTCTCAGGTGGAGACAGAGAGAGCTAGGGAGCAAGAGGGCGTGGACCTGGGGTTTTGATTTTATTGAGGCCCAAGCGTGGGAGCCTAGGGTTCTTTGGGCTCTCTATTGGTGAATTTAAACATAAGAGTGGGAATTTTAAGGTGGAGAAGAGAAAAAAACAAGTGGCCCAGATAGTCAGTTACCAAAAAAATCAACCAAGATCTCTAAAACAGAGGTGCCTCAATGGGGTAAGGTTGCCTGGCTCGCTCTTTAGTTTTCTGCCTGGCAGTGTTTTTACTAGAGATAGTCCTCTTTGAAATGGGTGCCTCAGCAATCAAAGCTTAAGTCAGGCACTTGCATTACAAAAAAGGAAAAAAAAACTGTCTGAACTTATGCTACACAGGGTTCTGAAACTAATCAGTGGAGGAACCAGGTTTTAAAACAATGCACTGTGGCTCCTGAGTTCAAGTTTTTAACTAACACTTCATCCTGAATCTATGCATTAAAAAAAGCAGATACTGGAATTACTTCCATGCATATCTGGATAGAGGATGAGAACACTAACTACTGCCAGTTATTCCTTGCATGAAGCACTCAGGAGATAAATGAGAATAACACAAATTCACTATTATATTTCACAAGTTTATACGTAACAGTATGCACAGTCACTTGGTTAAGTGTAGCTCTGGGAGGAGGGGCTCCCAGGCCAATTTCTCTATGAAATCAATGAGACCAAAGAAAGACAAGGGCAAAAAGTTGGGGGAAGAGGGTTGGTGCATTTATTCTCACTGCTGCTGGCTCGAATGCACTCCCCAGGCCAGCTACGGGTCCTGCTCCTCAGCACGAGCTTCAATGGACCCCAGTCTCTCCTCGCTCCCCTCCGTCCTTTCCCGTGTGAGATTCCCTCATGGATGCTTGACCAATTACATGCCAGGAACACAGGCAGGGGAGAGAATGAGTGCTTCCTCTCTACCCACCCCCTGGGAAAGTACTCCCTTGACTGACCAGCAGCTTTGTTGCAGGTAAACATCCCATAAATATGTAAACATGCTCTTACTATATACATAATGGGCACTATTAAGGCAAGCCGGCGGGAATCCTGGTCAGAAAGTTATTTTTTCCCCACAGACAGTGTAAACATAAATATGAGCATCACAGAATGTTCAGGCTAGAAGGCAACTTAGAGAATATCTGGTCCAATTTCCTGATCAGTACTAGTTCATTGTGAATTTTTACAAGTTCTCAAAACTTTCATTACCCAAAAGACTATCCTATACTATCTATTTTCAAGATTTCCCACCTGAGTTGACTGAATTCAAAGGACTTTTCCCAGCTCATCTTCTTTTTGTATCACTATTACATTTGTTTCACATTTGCCACAGGGAGGCAGAAGCCCTAATGATGTGATGATCCAGAGTAGCCAAAACAATTTTGAAAGAAAATGATACTCTTTTATTTATTTATTTATTTATTTATTTGGCTAGTATGGAAAATGCTACATTAAACATCCCTGTACATGTCTTCTGGTATTTTTCTTTGGAATGTATAGAGATATAAAATTGCTAAGTTAGTAGATATGAATGTAATTATACCATATTTTACTTTAAAGTAGTTGTACCAATTTATATCCACTTAAAATTGAGAATCCTTATTAAATAGCAGACTAGGGGGAGAAGCCAAGATGGCAGCATGAGTAGAGCAGCGGAATCTCCTCCCAAAACCATATATATTTTTGAAAATACAACAAATTAAACTATGCCTAACAGAGAGACCAGAGGATACAGTACAACAGCCAGACTACATCTACACCTGCGAGAACTCAGCACCTCACGAAGTGGGTAAGATACAAGCCGTGGCTAGCGGGATCCAAACACACCCCCCACCCCAGCTCCCTGGTGGGAGGAGAGGAGTCAGAGCAGAGCGGGGAGGAAGAGGGAGCCCAGGACTGATGAATACACAGCCCTAGCACTGGGAGCACAGACACATAAATAGTAGAATAATTTTTCACAGTCTGAATGTCAGAGTAGGTACATAACCAGACATGAGTAGGGAAGGGGAGGGGGCTTTTGGCCAGATGCTTGCTTACATTCTACACATCCCTGTAAACTATTCTCAAGGGATGAGGGGAGGGAGAATATAGATAGCAGACTGGCTAAAAATAGCTAGTTCCAAAATACATTATACACTTATTGACAAAGTAAAGAGCATAGCCCTCCACCACTGACAGGTAAAAATCTTACCTCCCTGCACCTTGACAGTTCCAAGGAAAACTAAATAGAGCCAAAACTCCTCCAACCCCATGTGAGAGTGGAGCAAGCCCAAACTAAAAAAAAAAAAAAGTTACCTTTGAAATTTTTTTTTTATTATTAAGGTATCACTGATAATACACTCTTATTGAAGGTTTCACATGAAAAGCATTGTGGTTACTACATTCACCCATATTATCAAGTTGCCCTCATACCCCATTAAAATCACTGTCCATCAACATAGTAAGATGCCACAGTCAGTACTTGTCTTCTCTGTGCTACACTGTCTTCCCCAAGACCCCCACACACACCACGTGCACCAATCATAATAACCCCCAATCCCCTTCTCCCTCCTGCTGGTAGCCATGCCACTCAAGCAAAAATCAGGCTGGAGGAAGACCCCCACAAAGCAGGGGCCTTCGCAGGTGGCTCCCCCTACTACCCACCTTGAGTTTGTTTTTCTCCATTATACTATTGGCTTTGCTTTTGCTTGCATTTTTGCCAAAGACTAAGCTAACCTTTGATAAGCAGCACTGAAAGGAGGAGAACATAAACTTCCCAAAAGATTTTCAGGACAGTGCTCCTGAAGGATGGAACATGCAGGGGCCAGATGGCGATCTTGGCATGGAATATCGAAACCTGCAAGTAGCTAGTCAGACACTGACTACCCCATCTCCACCTAAGTGGGAATGCCCCCCTTGTTTGCAATGCTAGTGAAATTAGTGATGAAGAGTTTTATAGGAAAATTAGAGAAATAAGAGTTATGAGGGACTATTGAATGGAACAACCCTGACACTTAAGTCTGACACTTAATCCATCTCATATTTTCTTCCCTCTGCTACTTCTACAGCTTTTCTTCTTCCTAATTACAGCCCTTTACTAGAATTTGTGCCTCATATGTGAAATTACCAAGTACCATAATTCTTCCAAGTGGTAAAGATACCTCAAGACAAGTGCTGGGCCTGGAAGCCACAGGACATAAATCTGCAAAGAAGTGAAAGACGAACCTTTTCAAAGAATATTACTTCTCTCTCACTTACCAGCTTTACATCTCCCTGTATGGCCCCGGAAGATGGCTGGTTAGCCAGAGATGGGTAAAATTCCTCAAGGGAGGAACAACCTAAAACAGGCACAGTCTCAGGGGGGCCATCTGGTGAGAAAATGGGGGCCAACAGAGGTGAGGCTTAGAACCTC